TCTTTTGCTACTGCTGCACGAATCACTGGCTGACCAAGGTATGAATGTCTGTTTTGTTTGCTCACTCATAGGAATTTATATTTATTTATTATTTATTTATGTATCTATTTATTTATCTAACATTTTTGTGCAGTCTTCAAAAAATAACACAAATATAAATTGGATTTAAAATTCTGGTTCTCACCACTTATTTCTGTGGAATATTTTTTTTAATTTACCTCATATTTTATATTTTCTTCCATTTTTTCTGCCTTGTCGTGTATAAGACCTCCAGTTTACATGAAGTCGTTATACCAACCACAAAGATAATTTGTAACACATGATTCAGAAAAATTCTATTATTTTATAATCTTACAATATAAAGCACCTTGTGGCGACTGTTGCTGTGATGTGGTACTACTTGTTCCTATGTAAAACATTAAAGTTCTAGGAGATTTAGAGGGAGTAAGAACTGCAATCAAGCTCTATTTACAGTTTTTGCTATAACTTGCCTGGAAATTTGTTCTAACTGGCGACAGTTTTTTCACATCTCTGTGGAGGAATTTTGGTCCTTTTTCTTTGCAGAACTGATGAGTAAATTGGAGCGGGAGATTGAGAGACAGATTCGGGCTGCAGCTGCAATGATGTGGATGCTGTATCAATCTGTTGTGGTAAAAGGAGAACTGAGCATAAAAGCGAAGCTCTTATTTACCAATCAATCTATGTGCCTCCTCTCACATATGGTCACATTAGGTGTGACCAGCCGCTCACCAGCCTCTGTTGGCCTCACCAGCTGTTGTTTATCCGGGGCCTTGAAGTGGAGAGGGTGAGCAGCTTTAGGTACCTGAGCGTCTACATCTTTGAGGACCTCACCTGGACACTGAACACCACACAGCTGGTCAAGAAGGCTCAGCAGTGGCTGTATTTCCTGAGGAGGCTGAGAAAATTTGGTATGTCGGCCAAGATCCTCAGCAGGTTCTGCAGCTGCATTGTGGAGAGCACACTGACAAGCTGCATCACTGCATGGTACAGCAGCACTACTGCCATGGACCGCAAACACCTGCAGAGAGTGATAACAACTGCTTGGAAGATCACTGCTGTCACTGCAGAGCACTTACCATCGCAGAGCCCAGAGGAGAGCTGCCTCCATCCCCAAAGACCCCCCACACCCCCAACACGGACTGTTCACACTTCTGCCATTGGCATGGAGGTTCAGAAGTCTGATATCCAGAACATCTATACTCAACAACTCTTTCTTCCCCATTGCCATCAGACTCTTGAACAGCTGACCTATTTTTGACCAGTAATAATAATTTTTTGCACATCAGGCTACATATTAAGCCAACATATTAAGCTATAGCTCTTTTGCACACATCTCTGTTTCACACTTCAATATTTTGTCTCCTTTTCTGTACTTTTGTACTATTTGTATTTTATCTGTTCTATTTCTGTTGTCTATATTAACCGGCATCTGAGGGTGGACAGCAAAGAAAAAAATTCATTGCACAGAGAAATGCCTTTTTTCCCGCTTTGGACACGTGACAATAAACACTTTGAATCTTGAAAAATGAAAAAAACTGTGAAATCAGGGAGGGGGCTTAAACTTTTTCACAGCACTATATGTGTACTACTTGGTCTCTCTGGAATAGTTGCTCTTAACTTAACCCTGACTGAATATGTGTAAGTTTATGTGAGTTACATCTTTTTTTTTTGTCTTCTGTGTCTGTGCACAGTGTGCCTCACCATTTCTGCTTACACCACTGAAATTAATGGAACTAATGCAAACATCACTGAACATCAAAGTACGGTGGACTGTCAGATGCACTGTCAGACTTCCTGCGTCTTTCTATGCATCCCTGGAGAAAAGGCATGGTTCAATGGTACGTCTTACTGCTTGGATGTTAAGCCTGAAACAACACCTGAAAATGGAACAATTTATCAACTGGGAAAATGTAAGTGTGCTGAAATCTAGTCTGATTAGGATAGAAATTGTTCTGCCGAACTGCTGATTCACAGCCATTCCCACTTGTCCTCTCTTTTTCTTAATCTCTTTCGCGTCTCTTTTCCAGATCACACTTGCTACCTGTACCCATGCCTGAACAGTTCCATCTTGCGACTGATTGATTCACTGGATTATAAACAGAAAAACTTGATAACACTCTTCAACATAAGAAACTCGTGTTTGAACCTCTTCAATAATAATCAAAAACTCAAGTGGACCTTTATAAAGTAAGTAGGAGTCCTGCAGCAGGCACTCCTGCACATGCTGTTGAGTAGGCACATGTATTTGTCTTTTTTTCCTTTGTTCTATTTTTTCCCTTTAGTACTGTTAATCTTTAGCCCTGTGACCAAAATTGCTCACAGGATGGTTGATCCATCAATTTGGGTCAGACTGAGACATCTTAATGACAGTCGGGTCACCTTGGCACAAATTTTCGTGCCTTCACGTCACACTAGCATTTGTGGTTGCCAAATGCTAGTTCATTTAATGCAAATGTATAAATCTGATTGCAGAAGATGTTCTTTCATTTGCAAACATGTGGATTTTATTTCTGCAGTGAAGAAAGAAAGGCCATCCATACCCTCATAAATAACACCCAGACTGAGGCTGCATTGTCCAGTACCTACAACCAGCAGTACTTGTCTCTGAATGTGATCAACATCAGCAAGGCCCCAGTGAATTCCATAGTGGAAATAGAAGCTCCCCAGGTACACAAGCCAGATGTTGATGAAAAACACAAGGGAATAATATGGACTCAGATAGCATGACAGTGGTTGTTTAAAAGTATTGTCTTTGATCTAGTTACTTATACTGTATGCTTGATTAAAACTACCCTTAAATTGTTCTGCAGAAGGATATAAATGGACTTTTTTTCCCCATCCACTGTTAGCTGCACCCTCAGAACCATTCATTCATCCCTAAGATTTGGCTGCCTGTCGATGCTCTAAAGACCATCCCAGAGGAGAAGAGGATTATTGGCTTGGTCAGCTTCATGTATCACGACCATTTCCAAGTATATCCTAAATCTTTTATACTATTTCAATATGTTTTGATGAACTTTTTTATATTCTCAGTCATGAGCATTATCCCCATTTAAAACAAATTATGTACATAAAACATTTGTATTTATACCATATAATAATGGTCTTTATTTCCTCTCTTACTGTACATTCCTTTGTTAGTTTGATCAGGAAAAGATTTTATCAGTGGTTCTCAGGATAGAGGTGCTGGGGGAAGAGCGCCTCAGAAATCTGGCTTCTCCAATCAAGATGACCTTTAGAGTTAAAACAGACAAAGGTCAACTGGATGTAAGTCTGTTTGTACGGAAATGTTTATTCTTTTAGTTATTGAAAATTTGTAATCGGATTATGGTTCCACGGTGTAATGGTTTACATATTTGTCCAACATGTCAAAAGTCCCTTTGATGCTGTGGCAGTAAAGGCATCTAGCATAACAGTCTGTCAGATCAAACATGCAGTTCCTCCTTGTGATTAAGGGAGCAACTGAGATCACTGTGTCGGATAATCTCGGTGTCTGTTGCCTAATCATACACTGAACCACTAAATTGTGCAACACTAAATGTTCTGGCTCATAAAAAGGGGAAAGAAGATGTGACTTGATTTCATCATCATCATAAGTTTTATAGAACTTTTCTTTTACTAGTTTTATTCTGTTTAAGAAGCTTAATTGACTTTGCATTATTAACATTTTTCTAATTTTACAGAATGACTCACAGTTAGTCTGTCACTATTTTGATGAATTTGATGGAAATGGTAAGTATATATCAGTTTTATTGGTTACTTCAAGATGAACACCAAAGTAATGAGATTGGACACATTAATATTTTTTTTACCTAATTATTTGTTAACTGACAATTTGGGGAATCTTTAACTACTGGCTTGATTTATTTACGCTATATTGGCTTTATAAACATGGTGTTTTAAAACTCCTGTGGTTTGGTGTAAGTAAATGGATCCTTGTACGTGAATTAGGACATGTAGTGTAATAGACACAGTGCAACATTGCTGCAGAGACAAGCATAACTGTATTTTGATGCAGTCGTTGTAACCTCTAATCTAATCTTTTGTTGAGAGCTTCCTGTTTTATTTCTGCATGTTCTTCCTGGGGGGGGGGTTCTATTCAGTATTCTAGCCTCTTTGTACACTCATTTCTACTACACTCATTTCTACTACAAACACACCAACACACCGTTCTGCCCTGCTTCATAGATTGAAACTCGCCCAAAATGCCGCGGCTCGCCTTCTAACTGGTACTGGTAGGCTTGAGTTTATCACCCCAATTCTCTCTGGCTTCCACTGGCTTCCAATTAAATACCGCATTGATTTCAAAATCCTACTGCTCACCTCTAAAACCGTAAATAATATCGCACCTAGCTACTTTATTGATCTCCTCAGTGTGTATATTCCCAGTAGAACACTGAGATCATCTGACCAATTTCTCTTGGTGCATCCTAGGTCACAGCTGAAAACCAGAGGTGACCGTGCCTTTGCTTCAGTCGCACCTAACCTCTGGAACAACCTCCCTCATGCTATTCGCTCGTCTGACTAAAGCCAGACCTTCAAGTCTCGATTGAAAACCCACCTTTTTAGTTTAGCCTTCCCGGCTTCCTAGAGCATGCCTTTTAAGTGTACTTTCTTGCCCTCTCCTTTTCCTCTTTTGCTCATATTGTTTTATCGATTTTATCTTTAAGTCTTACTTACTTATTTGCGTACTTGTATGCTTGGTTAATCAATGCCTCCCACCTGCTAGCTTATCTGCTTTTGTATTTTGCTACTGTTTTATTGGATTTTGTGAAGCACTTTGGTGTATCTCTGGTTTTAAATGTACTATACAAAAGTTGTATTGTATTGTATTTCGTCTCTAGATGTGGATGTGTGGATCCACATCTGTGGATGTGCATCCTCAGTTAGGCCTGTGATGGACTGGCGGCCTGCCCCACATTCTATCTCTTGCCTTTTAAAAATTTTGCATATGCTTAAGTGAAGTTAAGAAAGCAGTAATGAAAAGGCACAGATGTATAGATTACTGCACTTAAAATAGAAAACTGTTCATGTACAAAGAACGAAGTTTTACTTATTTTTTAGGCTCACCCTGGAAAACTGATGGTTGTGAGACTCAAAGCTTCAACCAATCAGATGAACAGGACATTGCGTGCTATTGTGACCATACTACACCGTTTGCTGTTCTTCTGGTAAGTTGTTCCTGATGAACTTCTTGTTTTTAGCCGCTTTCAGTTTTAAGATATAAGAAAATAAATCTAATTATAGAGATCTTTATTCAATATGTGTTCCAGAGGTTAGGTGCGACTGAAAATCCCCTATTTCTTAATTTTCTCACATGTTTTTAGATATTGGTAAAAGTAAATATGTAAACTACAGACAATTTTCATCACTTTTGCAGATAAGAGGTCAAATTGCAGCAGTCCACTGGAAAATATTGTCATACATCAGTTACATAGGCTGCGGTCTGTCAGCTTTCTTTACTGCTTTGTCTCTTTTGATGTATGCTTTCAGTCGGTATGTATCATAAAATTAGCATGCATAATAATGTGCTTGTCTGTGGACTTCACATATCTGATTGTTTTTTTTATTTGTCTCCTCTTCAGTAACCACAAACTGGACTACTCACTATCTATTCACGTATCCCTGAGTGGGGCCTTGTTTCTGCTCAATTCATCCTTCCTGCTGACTGAGTGGGGAGCTACACTGGACCTAGAGGGCGTGTGTGTGTTTGTTGCAGCATTCATGCATTACTCCTTGCTCTGCAGTTTCACCTGGATGGCCATGGAGGGACTTCACCTTTATCTAATGCTGATCAAGGTGTTTAACACCTACTACAAACACTACCTACTGAAACTTTCACTTGCGGGTTGGGGTGAGTATTGCAAAATTTTCAACGGTATTTACTACATGAGAAAAGAGGAAAGGGTTTATGAGGAAACTTGCACTGAACCAGAGGTCATGTAGACAATGGCTGCAATCACTATTGAATGTGAAAGTATGGGTAGCTACTAGGGCTGGGTGATATATCAAGTTTTTAAATATATCGATATATTTTTATAAGAGATATTTGATGTGACAATATTGTTTATATCGATATAGTCTATGCTATGTTATAATTATACTTGTGGAGCTGCAAGTTTACCTCTCTTTCTCCCACTTTTGCCTACGCTACGTTACTCTGAATCCCCTCTCTACTTCACTGAATTCACTAGCTGGGCCCACGTCCTCATATTAGGTTTGACAAAGTACTGGTAGGTAAAAGTGAATGCTTTGACACGAATTGAGCTGCGGTTTGGGGAAGGCCTCGAAGGGGACTGGCGATGGCTCCCAGGCCTGGCCGATCCCCATGCACTAAATAGAAATGAGGAAGTTAAAGAATTGAGAACAAGGAGGGAGGGAGGAAGGGTGAGGCACGTAAACAACGATCAACTGCTTGCAAGAAAACCATTAATCAGCATATGAACATTAACTGATGCTACTGAAGTGAAGCAGAGCAAAGTTACAGAGGTTTTATTAGAGAGCGAAGCAAGCGAATAATGCAGAAAACAGAGCGTTTTAGATGGGAAACAATTCCTGAGAGAGAGAGCTCTGCACTAAGCATGATTTTATCATGGTGGAAGCAAAACAGCAAAAGTCAGAGGGAATTCATGACGATGTTTATGTGAAGCGAAATGTGAAGCGATCTTCTTTTGCTGCTGGTTCTGATCAGTCGGTGGGTCCGCGTTTTGTGTTTACATCTTTGTGCAGAATCCCTGTACCTGCTGTCGTTTACTGTTTTAGCTGTTTGGTGGTTGTTGAAATTTTTTCATGTTTAACCTGAGATTCAGGTGTTTCGAGCAAAATAAATGTATATTTAAAATTCGATTCAGCATTTTAATGAATCGATATCACGTTATCCAAGCTAGAATCAATTTTAATCAATAAATCGATAATCAAAACCCACCCCTAATCCCGACTAAATGCTGGAGGACTAATAGTATTTTCACCATTTACAACAGCGCCATGAAGTGCAAAATGAAGACTGTGTGAAACTGCGTGCTGTAGACCGCAAAGTCTCCCAGCCTCCTGCCCCGAAACAAACCACCTTACCAAACTCGTATACCGTATTTTTCGGACTATAAGCTTACACTAAAATCCTTTCATTTTCTCAAAAATTGACAGTGTGCCTTATTTATGAATTCTGGTTGTGCTTACTGACCACGGACCGATTTTATGTGGTACACAGCACTCAGAAATCTGTCAAAAATGTTTTAGTACGACTTTGTTAAGCTACATTGCTGCACCACTTGCTGGAATTGTCGGAGCATTACGGCTACCGTAGTCAGGAGCCTCGCAGAGTGATACGTACTGTGCTTCAACGTAATATTGCCGTATTGTGTGTGTATAAGGACCACAAATGGCACCTTTTAAGAGACATGATTATGAAGCGGATTTGAAACTCAAGGCTGTCAGTCACGCAGTAGAACTTGGGAACAGAGCAGCTGTGAAATCTGTCTGAACCTGCATCGTGATCTACGAACGATTAACCCCTGTGTTACGTCCCCTGGCTAGTCTAGGGGGTTGAAGGGACGAACATAAAGGTGGATAGTGAAGGAGGAGCCAAGATAGTAACTTTAAAAGGTTTATTTAATGCTGGTGATGAGATTTGGGTTCAGACTGAGGTATAACTTCAGGGAGAGCCAAGGCCAACATAACAAACAAAACATCCCTGATGTAAAAATAAAAGAAACTTACCTAACTCCAAAGAAAACAAAATATACAACCTATAACCATAACCTACCTAACAACACATAAACAGGAGAAAACGGGATGTCAAAACAAAAGGCAGCTCTCCCCTACAAGCAGTCTGAACATGAAAACAACAATGCTCATACAAATCACAAAGGCATGCCAGCCTGTACAGGTATGGCAACCAAAATGGCCAGAGGGCACAGAAGCACAGCTCCACAGGCTTTAAGTAGTGCTCTGCTGATTAACAATTAGCCGGACTCTGAGCAGCATCCAATCAGGACAGAGGAGGTGGAGCCTAGACGAAACAAAGAGTTAGTAGGGAGAAGAGACATCCTCCTGGGGGATGTAACACCTCTGAGTCAATTGTGAAGTTTGAGCAGAAGCTGAATAACGCGACTGAAAAAAATCGCACAGTGTATGCCAGCTTAAAGAATATCAAGATATGAATTTTGGGCCATATCGCCCAGCCCTTTTGAGATTTCCTTCTACATTCACTGTATGATTAATGAACACTGTTAAAATTGAACAACATCTCTTAGAAATATGTCTGACTTCTTCTGACTCACTTGACTGCCAGATTTCCCTAAACTTATGAATGAAGTCTTTCATATGGGTGCCTCTTGGATAGTCTTATTGTGTGCTTCTTAGGTATTCCTGCTGTAATGGTGGCAGTCTCTGTAGGAGTGATGGATTGCAAACAGTTTTATGGAGTTAAACAGATGACCATGGCTGACACCAACCAAACTAGTTCGATGTAAGTAAACCTGCTTTTGGCAAGACTATAAACTAGCACTATGCGCCTTTAGCAATAGGAATCCAAAACCATGACTGAGTTTGCAGGGCAACCTGTCCGCTATACATGACACAGGCCATGTCCACATGAATACGTTTTTATTTGAAAACGTTTTGGCCTTCCATCCACACTGGCAAATGGAGCGTTTTGAAAACACTCTCCAAAGCAGATACATTTGAAAATGCAGTTTTCACGTCGCAGTGTAGACAGCGAACCCGGAGCCTTTTCGAAAACGATGACACATTTTAGTCATGTGATACAGTCATGTGACTGATTAAACTAAGATAGCGGAGGGCATTATACAGCAGTTGTTTTGTTTGCTCTTGATTTTGACAGCCCTATTAAAGATTAATATCAGTTTGTACAAGCTCCAGAGAGCTTTTCTTCAAATTATTTAATTCTCACTCGCTTTTGCAACTTTGTACTTTTATGTTACTCGCATCAACAACTCCACCTCATTGTTAGTCCATTTAAAAAACTCTGTGCTTTTCCTAAATATTTTGCTGTGACGTTTTAAAGAGCCGTAAAGTAAATAAATGGCAGACAGAAATGAGGCAGGGCAAATTGTCTTGCGTTTCATGCAAGCGCAGGACTGGAACGTAAGCGTTTTTGGCTGTTTCAATGTGGACGAACAACTCTGTGAAAATGACTGAAAGCGATAGTGTGGATGCGGAGCGTTTACAGACGTATACCCTGTTTTCAAATTTATCCAGGCTAGTGTAGACGTAGCCACAGTGAAAATTTTCATGCCACACAGACACATTTAAAAACCTGCTGAACATTATGTAGTTTGTAATCAGGATAGCAAATAAATTAAATAACGCACTGGAAAAAATGTTCTTTACAGGATGTTCCTGCCTATTAAAGTAAGATCTGTCTTACAAAGAAGTGCGTACTGCTGAAACCATAAAGTACCAACAACCAAGTTTCATATCATTATGAAATTATACTGTTTCTGTTCTTTGTATGCTGGACTGTAGGCAGACTATGCAGCCACAGATTTTGAAACTGTACTTTGACAGCTCTGCCTGTTTTACAGCTGCTGGATCACTGACGACACCTTCTTCTACTCCTTGAACCTGGTATATTTCACCCTTGTTTTTATCTTTAACACTGGCATTCTCATGGCAGTGGCTTCTAGCATATGTAAGATGAAACAAGTGTTACAGACTACCTTAAAGACAGGAGCCACAGCTAAGGGGAAATTGTGGGGAGACCGAGAGAGGCTTAACGCATCCTGTAAGAGTGGCCTAACATTGTTTGGTCTTACTTGCCTGATGGGTACCACCTGGGGCCTGGCCTTCCTGGGTTCTGGATATATCAACTACCCCATTCTCTACCTTTTCTGTATCCTCAACTCCACACAAGGTCAGTTTAGTGGTTTGTGTCTGTGTGCAAGTGATTTGAGCATTTTGTGTCTGATCTGTTCATTTGTTTCTCTGGTTTTCTTGATAAGGTTTCTTTATCTTCCTGTGGATTTGTCTGTCAGCAAAGAAGCAGAGAAAGAGGGCTAAGGAGGACCGAACATCTTCAGCTCCTGTGAGAACTACAGAAATCAAATCTGATTAGAGTTACTCTCTACCATTTCTGCTCTACATGTAATCTTCTGTTATGTTAGATTTAAAAACACACTGAAACTTTAAATACTATTGCTTTATAGTATGTCTGTATTGTCTATATGATTTAATATTTTTTCTGTTTATATTCTGTTTATTTATTTTTTCTGTTTAGTCAATCATATATATTTTACCTCTGTAATATTCTTGATATGTATAATTGAGCAATTTGTATATATTAGAGCTATTTCTTAATTTTAAAAAAAAACTCTGTAACATATTTAATTACTTTAGTCTGTTACTGTTAGTGTCTTGGAGCAACTATAACCCACATAATTTCCTTAGAGATTAAAGTATTCTGATGTATGCTTCTGAATAAAGTTGTACATGATATATGGTAGACTGTTAATGGACTGATTCTTATATAGCGCTTTTCTACTCTCCCGGAGTACATAAAGCACTCTATACAACATGCCTCATTTACCCAAGCACTTCTAAACTCAAGTGCAAACTAATCTACATTCACACTCCAATTAACATATCAGAGGGCAACTTGGGGTCAGTATCTTGCCTAAGGATATTTGACATGCAGACTGGGGAAGCCAAGGATCAAACCGCCAACCTTCCAATCAGTAGCTGATCTGCTCTACCACATGAACCACAACCACCCCACTGAAGTGTTATTAAGTTTCTATGGGCCTGAACACATGATTAACTTTGCCCTTTTCAGACTTTCTCACACGACACACTGAAGAATTAGACCATTTCTTCAAAATGTAATATGCTAGTGAAAAATATCTCTGTATCCATCCAGGTTAATGTTAGGTTAACTGTTCTTTCATTTCAGCACATGCACCAATAGCCCAGTGACCTTTGGACAACCCCTGTCAAATAGATAACAATTCTTTATAAGACCGATTTATAATATAGTGATGTCATCAGTGTGATAAGTCGGTCTGACTGATTTATTCAGAATTCATTGAGATATGTAATACCATGCATATGAGAAACAATTTACCGAACTGTGGATTTTGCAAAGCTGAGCTAGTGAACTAATATTAACATCTGGAAAAGATCCGGAAAAAGAGTAAAATAGATCCATTGCAATGAACTCCTTATGGAGATTTAACTTTTCTTCCTTTCCTGGTGTGGTCCAGAGAGACTCAATTTTTATTATTACAGCATTTAATGCACCATTTATTCCAGACTTCAAATAAAGGGTGCAACAGTGGTCTGTTTTCAGTTTGACATTTTTTAGAGAAATCAACTTTCTTAACTTCTACATGTTTAAATTCTCAGTTCTTAGTTCTCTGAGGTTTGGCCAAAGGGGCCAAAGGTAAGAGATGAGATTTCCGGAGTAAGTACTCAAAATTCCCATGGGATTAAATGCAACAATAATATATGGTATTCACAGTTAAACCCATGTGATCTAAATATAATCTAAATGTAATATGCATTTTAATACGTCACAAAGGTAAATGTAGTTAATTAGAGCAACAAAACTATCATATGAATCACACAATATAATTCCCTCGTATGCAACTTCGAATGTTCTAGAGATCTGTGAAGGTAGCATATTAGTTTTGAGCGGAGATAAGAAGGAGAGAACGTATAGCGGAGAAACACACGGGTGTCAGTTCAACACGTGCGACATACTTGGCTTTGTTTGTGTGTGACCAGACGTTAACAGTGTGAGGTGACATTTCCGAGAGTCGCACCACAGTGTAGAAAGGTGTTTTCAACTGCAACTGGTAAGGTTAAAGGTTGGTCGCGACAACTCGTCTGATCAACGGGCCCTGATATGGACCGTCGGAGAGCTGTAAAGTGACTTGCTGGCGCGCTGTAGCACAGACAGCGCGGTGTCCTCAGGAGGAGCCGAGAACTGGATTCAGTGGACTGGTGAGCAGCCACCGACAGAGCCACTGTGTTTCTATTTTTATGTGCAGTGTCTTTACTTATATTGGTCAAGGGACTTTAGTGAACAGGATTTACAAAGGGGTTATGCATAAAAATAAAAATAAAACAACAGTTATGACTTTATATCTTTATGACTGCATGTATGTTACTGTACATACATAACCAGTCCAGTACTTTTTGGCCACTTAAAATATCTTTATAGAACTCCTGCTATATTTGTTGCAATTTCTGTTGTCCTCTTCGCCAGATTACTCTTAAAAAGCCATTTTTTAATGTCAACGAGACTTTTTAACTGGATAGTAAACTAAAAGGCACTTTGCCAAAAACTGATTGTGGCTTCTACTTTGTGATAGGAATGTTGTTTGTGGCTCAAGATGACTTGATATCATTCATGAGGGATATATTTGACACATTTCACATAGCACTACTACACTACCAAGATGTGATAACCTGCTTCTGTGTTGCTTAATAATATTTCATAAGGTATTATTTAATTTAAAATATCTATTTCATTTTCATTTTCTTGTGGGGATAGGTTAATTGGATAATCCAAATTGTCACTATAGGTGTGAATGTGTGAATAAATGTCTGTTTTTGTACATTTTTATGCTGCACCAAAGTACAGTAAATGTTCTGTTCTTGTGCTTAAGTTGTCTGGGATCAATTCTTTCATTAGTGTTTAAGTGTAACCTGCAGGCAAGGGGTTTATGGTTAGTTTCCTTGATTCCTGTCCATACCAAAACCATTGTGGAATCTGATGCAATAACTAATCCAACACCCAAAATAATGAGTCTAAACTGATGTAAGAGGGTTTAGACTCAGTATAACGGGTGGAGTGCTACACTTTTCATGACATCTGTTGAAGTTCTTAGACCTAATATATATAATTTTGAATAATTTGTGCATGTCTTTATGAAGGTGTCTGACACATCTTCTTGTCGATCTGGTTACCCACTAGCAGAGGAAGAACAGAAAACTTTCCTTGCCACTACTTAAAATGATAAACCTGTAATACCACAAGTCCATCACACCAAACCTCATTAGATCTAAGGTAAGTTTAAAGCAAACCACTACTAACGGAATTTTTGGAATAATACATGAGCTATTCTGATTAGAAATGAAATAGACTATGTAAAGAGAAACAGGTCAGGAAGAATAGAAAAATACAGCAGTCCAGTTACCTCCAAAGACTTTATTTTCAAAGATTTGCATCTTATTTTACTGTGTGCTGCAACCTGTAGAACTGGTGTGGCGCAAGTTCCTGTTTTAGTTCCTCAGCAAGCTGTAAGTATCAGCACTTCTTTAGTACTTAAAAGTACTTGATTATTGTGATAGCACTGAAAGAAATTGCCTGATGTGAGTCATTTCCTTTTCTGAGCTGTGAACCACAGATCTGTTAAAGCATGTGATGTATGTAGATATGAAACTCCCATTTGATCTCATTCAGCAAACACAACCAGACAGAAAAATACCCTCTTGACCTCCTACAGCAAATCTATATCTGTTGATGAGTGAGACGCAATGTGGATTATACTTTTTACCACAACAACCTTCTGTTTTTCTATGTCCCGAGCTGGTGGTGAGTAAACCTACCATGTTATCACTCTTATGTTGAAAGGAGTATACTTGTGAAGTGAATTTCAAAGTCATGAATCCTTGAAAAAGTAAAATTACCCAGCTTCTTTGTTACCGATAGCTATTAAGGACTCTAAGTCAACCAGTTTCACAAAACTATCTGCAATTTTATCAAGTGCTGATCAAATACTTGTAAAATAACATCTTGTCTCTCATGTGTCTCTGGAGTTAGATGCCACTTAGACGTTTTATCAGCTTCCAGTCTTGTTTAAATGTATTCATTATGCTAATTTTGGTCTTTCCTTTTCTGTGTGTTTTACTTTGACAGACTTTTGTGAAAATGTTCTTAAAGAATGCCGAGACAGTGACCCGTCATGGATAGGGTAATGCAGCTTCTACTGTACATGTCGCATTCCTGTTTGTGAAAAATAAATTGTCCTACATGAATGAATAAATGCTGTCAGTACTTGTTAATTGTTTTCAACAGTGGCTGCTTTTCAGTGGTTTTACATGGCTTCATCATCAAATAAGAATCATTAGAGTATTAGTATACAGCCTCTAACATATACTCATTGTAACAAATACTGCTGTTTCAAACAAGAACACAGTGTAACACTTTGGAATAACCATAATTTTGTATTATTGTTTAAGTGTATTGTGTATGTTGGCGTGTATTTAAACTTGTTACATACTTGATTCATCTAGAAACATTATTTGGATGATTTACTGTACTTTTTATATTTCTTTCTTATTTTTCTTTTTGGATTTTGTTAGCTGCTTGGAATTGACAAAGCTGTAGAATGTGATACTATGATAATATGGACATTATTATTTAATTATTGTCAGATTTTCACAGCTCAGCGTTATTTTGTGCAAATTGAAAAGCACTGAAGGATGCTTAAACCAAATACAACAGAATCTATTTCTGTTCATCTCAAATTCTTGCAGTTTCATTTTTTCTCCTTTAAATGTATATCCATGAACAAATGAAGTAACCAAATAGCAGAGAAAGGTCCACTATGAAATATTTGATCTTACTTCTCATCTCTTTGCATTAGTTTGTCTTTTTTATCCTCAGTTATATCCCTGTTTGCATGTTTATATATCTGAACTATGTTAAATATCTGTTGGTAGTTGTTACGAGGATCGAATTATGACCTGCAAGCCAAGAGGCCGCTCCATGACAGGCATCAAACAACTCAAAGTAGACTCACTTCAAGAGGTGAGGTCATTTGGACTGAAGTGCTTTTTAGAAGTGAAAAAGTTACATTTGATCTGAATTTCTGTATTTTTGTATTAATGAACTCTAATTACTGACAACCAACACATTTTTTAAAGTTATGTTTTCGTGTATGCTTTTTAGGTTGATGTGAGTCCTACATTTGAACATAGAGTTCAGATCCCATCATCAGCTCTACAAGAAAGCATAGGAAATGTGTCTGAGGTGGATGTCCTGGTGGTGGCCTCTGTAATAAACAGCAGTTATTTTAAGGTTGGTAACGCTAAAGGCAACAGAAAAAAAACTTAAATATCCCCACGAGCAGAGTCTCTTCACAATCAGCTGTTGCTTATTATGAAAAATGATTAAAAGTTGCTCCTTTAATAAAGAGTTGTTTTCACTAAGGGCCACAATGAGAAATGTTTGCTTTAATTTAGTCTAAAATGTTTGTCTTATATTTGTCTTATATGACAAATTCCTCAACCAGTCTACAAACAACTTTATTAGACTTTAAAATGTTTATTTCAGAAAAGTAATGCATTCTGACTACAGTTCTATAAAAAGGCTACTCACAACAACAATCTTTGGCTACCTTTACCTAATATTACAATTTGTTTAATGGTCTGAAACATGTAAGTGCGAGAAATATAAAAGAAATCTTCAAAATGCAAATACTTTGTTCATAACACTGCGCTTGTGGCTGTACAAACTGTAGCTACAGCTAGCCAACATTTTAAAAAAAATATCTTGAAATTTAACTACAAGTCCTCTGCCAGGATTAAAGGCTAGATTAGGTTTTGAGATTTGAGATACATTTTTTCATATTAATCCCACCCTAACATAACTGTTATGTGCCGTCCTTTCAGCTGAGTCCTCCCCAAAGAAGTAGGACACCACAAATTCATCGCAGAAATGGCAAAGTATTTAGGGACTCAGCCGTATGTGTGCGGGCAGGAAACCGTGCAGTCGAGAATCTCTTACAACCCATCACGTTAACCTTCAAACACAACAAAGAGGTAAAAAGACAAAAGTGTTGGACGAATATCTTAAATAGAAAATGTAACAACCTGTTTACCGTTCATTTTGATTCCAGGTTGAAAGTGGAACGTGTGTATTTTGGAAGGAAACATCAGCAAAGGATGGAACAGGTACTACTGGAGATGTCAACCTTCAGTGTTTTTGTTTCTAAATAAAATGACTTAGTTACTCCAAATGTTTTCTTTATAGGTTACTGGAGCAATGAAGGCTGTGACACAAATTACACGGCACATGAATTTATTTGCAGCTGCAACCATCTGAGCTTCTTTGCTGTGCTTGTGGTGAGCTGAAAATCTCTTCCTACATATGATAAAAGCCTTTGGCAAACACCATGTTTATCTAATTAATATTTAATTAGATCAACATGTTGATAAACAATTTGAATTGAGAGGCTGTCTCAAATTTATACTGTATAAATAGCCACGTATTTAGTTCCAGTCTTTCCACAACCAAATGACCAGAACTGAAATGTCAGCAATACACTCAAAGATGATAATTATGATATTTAAATTATAATTATAGTTATAAGTTCACTGTACACATACTTTCGTTGTGTATGTACAATAACAATAAAGGGCTATTCTATTCTATGAGCAAACTAGTGTGTTACACATAGATTGTATAAAAGATAGAGGGAGCCACCATGGCATCAAGTCACAATTTAAGGCTATGGGTCAGCACACCTGTCACTCTAATTTTAAGCTTTGCCAGCACATGGATCACTTACAGAAATAATTAACTCATCATATAGTTGTGATGAAGGGTGAACCAACCGATACATTCCCAACCATGTATTGCACCAAAATGTCGTGCCATCTTAACATGGAAATTTAGCAATTGATCAATTAACAAATCTTGGTCTACTACTAAAACAAATTTCTTATGTAAATTACATTTCAAAACAACAACTTCATCTTTTTATGTTGCAGAATCCAGGAATATCGGTGACAAAAGCTGATGCCGACAAACTAAACTACATCACTTACATTGGATCAGGACTCTCCGCCCCCTTCGCACTGATCAGTTTGTTCATCTATATTTATCTACAGTGAGTAGATGTTTTATTATTCACATTTAAAACTTTATAGTTTTCAGTTCCCAATTGTGATCAAATGAGAAACTGGAGAAAATAGACTGTATAAAAGCTATTCAGTTCGTTAGTGACAGCAGCTCAGTGATACGGTCTCTGACCACAACACCCACACTCAAACATGAGCAGATGAAAATAAGAGATGAAAAAATAAGAACAAACCGATACTCTTAAGAATTTTGCATCTCAAACGATTAAGAAAATAAGGAAGTACCAGGTTGTTTCCAACTGCTTCTTAAACAAAGTATGCACAATTTGGACTTCTATACCTGGCTGATGCTCATACTAGCCTTTGGCTTCCAGCTGTCTTCCCCTAAATCAGTGATTAATGACCCACTCTTAGTCACGTTAAGTTTAAGGAAATCGTCATTCCAAACATTTAACAAATGCAGGCAAAGCATCAGCCAGACCTGACTGTGAGGTCTGAAGAGGAAACTTCAAGTCTAGGAGCTGTCTGTGTACATGATAAAAACCAGAGGAGAAAAAACACAGCCCTCAGGAGAGCTGGAGTTTGATAGGTTTGAGAGGGTTGGACATTTTACAGAAATCCCATTCACGTTTCTCAGTTAAAAAATTCAAATGTAACATTAAAATCTGATCAAGTAAAATAATTTCAGAGGCCAGTCAGTCCATCAGTACATGGGGCTGCACCTTATCAAAAGCAGAAGATGCTTATATGCTGTATGATCTAGAACAATGAGCTTATCATCATCTATATCAATGCTTACTTTATAAGCAAACAGCAGTGGCTCTAATCTGTCATCAGTTGAGGACACAACCTCATCAGTTTTTTTTAATCACAAGATGTGTAAATACAGCTGATCTTAACTCATTTAGTTTTCTTGCATCTTTTTTAGTATTGTGATTAATATGGGTTTTTTTTCTAAATGACTTCACATCAGTTACATTTCATTTGTATTTCTGTATGCTGGTTATGTTTCCACCCTCTACACATCTCTGTACGATTGTAGAAAAATCCTCACTGAGCTAGATGGCATCGGGGGCCAGCAGCTGTCCTAATATTCACCATTTTCAAGATGGTTTCAGCCTGTTCTAGTGACATGACAAAATGATTCTGAGAAAGATTCACTAGTATGAAAAAAACATTTTTTCATTTCACATTCCTCCATTGCTTCCTCACTTCTCCACAGCTGGTGTTAGCAGCAGCAGCAGCAACCTGTAAGGATTGGTTACTATTTGTTGCTGGTTCACAGTCAGGCAACCCTGACGGCTTACATGCCGTTACTTTGACACATTTTGCTGCATTTATGTTTAGTTTAGTTTTTTTTATTGTTTTCTCTCAGCTTTCCAGCTCCACCTTTTCACCACTTCTTCCACACTAAACTTTTTCACAAGGTGCGTGAGAAGGTAGAGGGGAGCCGGTCGCATTAAGAAAGTTGATTGAACAATCCAGTGGCAGTATTTAAAAAATGAACAAATGGGCTGCTGTCAGTGTTTTGACACCTGTTGTGCCAAGGTAGTTATCTCCTACAGCATTTGTTTCCCCTGCGCTCCCGACGGGGGAGAAACTAATTCTGTCAGGGATAACTAGCTTTGTATGACACCTGGTGCATGGTGGCCCTTCAGGCAAAGACAAGCAAAGGGAACCCATACAGTTAATATACATACATTTAATAAAATGTAATGGAGTAGCATGATGATGCAAGTATTTCCCGTTTTTTCATAATATTAGTTTTGACTATGATATTATACAGAAGACAAGTTATTGCAGGAAGAAGAGGAGTGGGAAAAGGTGGTGGCAGAAGGGGATTGGGGGGGAGCAGTATATCTTGAGGTTCAATGTTGTTATGGCACTGAGAAGTAAACTGCTTTTGATGCTGTTTCTCAGGTGGCAACAGGTCAAAAGTGAGACCAAGATTATTTACTCAACCCTGCTAAATTGAGTAAGTCCTGTAGAGAGGCTGTAGTTTCTGCACAATGTGATACAGTACTTTCTGTAAAAAGTCATGAGCTGTTTTTGACTCAGTTTGGTCTTCTCGAGTACTCTGATGAAATGAAGTCATAGCTGTACCTTCTGCTAACTGCAGAGTCTTCTTTAAATTGCAACAATTAAAGTCTCACAAGGAGGAATTTAGCAAATGAAGCAAATAGAGTCCAGTTTGTGCATATGGTCAGCGATTATCTGAGGAGTAGCTGACATGTTGACTTGTGGATGATTAAACGCTGCTGTATAAAACAACTGTTGTTGTTTGGCAAATAGAATACATGGAGTGAATTTATCCACAGTTCCACTGCAGCAGTACATATCCTGATGTTTGCAGTATTACACCGCTCGCATTTACATAAACAGCTGGTATCTGTAGAGCTCTGTAGGGAAAGAAGAAACTCTTGACTCAGACTAACTCTCCTATGTGTGTCTCCACAGCAATGTAATTACATAAAATAAAATAGAATGCACTCATACTCTGCATCACCAAAGAACTTACTAATAGCCTGTAATACTCTGACAGAGTATATCTGAGTGTGGTTTGTGGCAAAAACCTCTGAGGACACAAATACTGTGAGTTCCTACTGTGCTGTTTATGAACTAAAGGATCGAACGTTTGCTACAGATGTATTTGCTAACTTTTGTCAGGGTTCCCTGTATAAAGAAACATCCCTCTTCCTGTAACAGTTGTCTCTGCAAAGACTGATGAGCGTGTGAGGTTGCAGAGATTGCGTCACAAAAGCTCAGTTGCTGCTTACATTTTGGGAACTATTTTTTTTCAACATGTTGATACTGGTATAAACAAAGTGTAGTCACTTCCCCAGAGACATCTTCTGTCAAGTAGCCTCAAAGAAACACTGCTACGAGGGCCTGGAAATGCCATAAAAAAAACCCTGAACATTAAGAAAACAAACTCAATAATATTAATGGTAAAAAAATGTGATTGTGAATGAAATTTGTAAAGTAATTAATTAAAGAAATGTTGTGCACATTAATATATCTGTCTGAGAGTGATTTTGTCATGTTTGTCTTTGTAATTTGTTTGTTTAATGAATTTGTTGATTTTCCCATTTCAGTTCAACCCATATTCTGTTACATTTCTAACATTATATGATGCAAATGAGGCGACTGCTACTCAAAGTGTGGTATTAAGTGAACTTTGTGGCTACATCTAGTTAAGAGACCATTAGAAAAGTGAGGCTACAGCCTCTTGTCCTTTCTTACATATTGTTTTATCTGCTGCATTAGTGTGAAGTTATTACCATCATCTCACATCTAAAAAGGCAAGATAATATCCACTATCTCCACAGTTGGCAACAAGAGAATAATTCTGTTTCTGTTTTAGTCGGCGGCATCCTGAGAAATCCATAAGTCTGCACATGCAGCTAACAGTGGCGATGTTCTGCCTCCATCTCACCTTCCTGCTGTCCAGCCTCCTGGCACAACTACTGAAGGAAAAAGAGGACGGCTCATCTTGCCTGGTACTGGGTCTGGTTTTACACTGGTCCCTTCTGGCCACCATGACCTGGAGTGCTCTGGAGGGGTTCCACCTCTACCTTCTGCTCATCCGGGTCTTTAACATCTATGTGAGGAGGTACCTGCTCAAACTCAGCCTGATTGGATGGGGTGAGTGTCGTTTAGGTGGGACGCTGCTCTGCAATAC